AAGTGTGAAGCTTGCTGAATGCTTCCAGCTTTCTGATAGAGCAGATTTCATTTATACTGCATAAGGAAGAAGCAGAAGTTGAGCACGTAGATAACACATACATTGTTAGCAATCAACAAGGAACAATGACCGACAGCCTGTTTGTATCGCAACATGCCCCACCTTTGATTGAGGGTTCACAAGTGAAAAGTCCAAGCATGCCATATGTTATCATGTGATCCTGTGTCTCATATCCTGTGCGGTGGACTAGTTGCCAAGTGCTGCGTTACAAGTTATTATCACCGGAGTACACCATACTTGCAGCAATTGCAATGGGTGCAAATATGTACAGCAGCAGAAGGAGCCAGCACCATTCATCACCAGGGTGTGTTGTACCTCCACAGTAATGAAAGACCACATGTGGCAAAAATGATTATGATTGGGAGATACTGTGCTCGCCACATCAAACACCCACAAGTTACCATCTATTCCATTTTCTAGACAACTAACTCCATAGAAAATCCCTCAACAATGAGGCAGCATGTACTCTCCAATTCCTCAATTTTTATTGGCACACTGCACAGCTCAGGAATGTTGGCTAAAGATGCTACTGACTACTTCTATATTACCGACAACTATGCGTTGTATGTCTGTTTCTGATGATCATAAATAACAGGAACTTTTTTTGGTTACCTTGCTTAAAACATAAATCCAGTACCTCCAAGTCAGATGAATGTAAAATGAATTCATAAACTTTAGAAGAAAGAATGCAATAAATTCATTGAATTCCTTTTAGGGAGCATTGACAAATGGAATTCGTGGAAATTTCTTTTTTCTTCTTCAAACGCTTAAGGAGATGACCCAAGTTATTTGTTACATGTAGTAATGAATGCAATTTTATTTATACTAAGATAACTTGGACTCATTAAACTGTAGCAATCTCATCAAATCCATTTATGCTTGAGCAAATATATATATTATTGTGCATTAGTGTACGATAGAATATTTTGGACTAGAGTAATGCCCGTGCTTCGATACCGGCTAGAGAAACAATCATTTTTCTTCACAACCCAAAATTATTTAAAATCTGCAACAGAATTCAGTTTGCTACTGGTGTTTTTACACAAGTCCAGTCAATTCACGTTGTTTATATGTTCTTCAGTGACAATTTAATACTGTTATTGTACCAAATTAACAAGCTCTAAATTTTTTTACTTTTGGGTAAATATTTGACCAAATTTGGTCCTTATTAAAATTTTTTTAATATAATTAGGCACGAGGCACGCTGGTTTCTTTTCAAATAAATTTTTTTAAAAAAAAGCACATTTTTGTCATATAATTAAAAAATAATTAGGTTGTTAGGTGGTCAACATCAAAAACAACAAAAAAAGATGAGAAGCTAGCTTACAGCTTTTCATTTCGTTTTTTCTTCTCTCCCATTAAGAATATGATAATTCCCAAATTTTCATGACAAAAAATTTAAATTAATAAAGGCTTAATACTGAAGAATGCTTTTTTAATAATATTATTCACGCTTTAATAAGGTCAGCAACTTTTTCTCTGTCACCAGTTTCGATATTTGCGAGTTCATACACCACATTTTGTGATTTATTATCTGCACTGATTTACAATGAACTGAAATCATGGGTGTCAAATTATGAACAGCAATTGAAATCCTTATTATCTAAATGTCTTGCTGAATTTCATATGGACTACAAAAAAATAAAAATTAGTTGATTAATATTTAATAATTATTTGTCATTATGAATATTTGTACTTGTTTTCATGGAAAATTAGAGATAAAAGAAACAGGAATTCGACAATAAATTCTCCTTGATCCCCATCCCCAATGCTACTGAAATAAATAACTGAAACAGTATTTATCTTAACTGCAATTACTAATTTTGAACACATGGTAGCAATTAGTAAAGGCTCAAAATTGTGTTTTCAGAGAAGAGGATTTTTCTGGATATTAGATCATCAGTTTATATCTAGTAAGATGGCATGTCGAAATAATAAAATTAAAAATATGAAATCGTGATTATGAAATAATCAAGTATTTAGGATCTAAAGAGTATCAAAATTTACAAAAAAAAAAAAAAAAAGAAGAAGAAGAAGAAGAGGAGAGAAAGAAAAAAAAAAAAAAAAAAAAAAAAAGGGGGAACTCCCCTATTTTTCCTTTATTAAACATTCCTTTCAAGTTTGTTTAAGTTGTTAAGTTTTTGTGCTAATACTTTTTCTTTAATTCCATAGACAGACATAATTTCTTATTTAGTTACAAAGTTCCATGGTTGAAGTCCTGTAATTGTGTCTAGAATTCCGACTAACTAGTCAAGCGAATTTTTTTTTTATCTCTCTGTCAGTAGCAGTATTTTCTGGATCTAGAGTCGTACTACAGATTTTGCCATCCGGTAATTGATTGATGACTGAGGAGCATTGTAACCACAGTGAAAAATTTCTCTTATATCCTCTTTATTTATTACTGCTTCTCCACATTTCTTTACAAAATTCGCTAATTGGAAAATTTCACCTTTGGTTTGCGATATCCGAAAACCTTCAGATTCGTGGTCTATTATCATAAAATTTAGCTATAGTTCACTATACATATTTGGTTATGTAATTATCAGATTGGCAACTAAAGACAAGTTGTTCTGCTAAATTTTATCTTGCTTCTATCGTGCACTGAGGCGATTAAGCCTGAATTCATTATTTATTATACTTACACCCATTTCTTACACATGCTTAATACTTATTCGAGTCCTGAACAGATAAATTGATTGAGGGCCGGTGGCTGATGCATCCTCTGTGGATCTTCAATTCTGCTATCAAGCGCCTCCCTTTGTCTTCCCTAAATTCTTCTGCCCGGTGCAGCCATATGAACTCTGGTGCTGGTTCTGGGTTTATGTAAATAACAAATCAGTTATTCTTAATTCAAATAGCACTAAATGTAATCTTTTGGCCTATGAGTATCATTAACAAAATCTACTTTTAGCATACGGAAAGAAATTTTTGTTACATTTTTCCTGTCAACATTTCTTAGTGCATTTAACTTAAATCTCTAATCATCGACAATCATTATGTCAACATAAAAGGTTACACCACTGTTTCTCAATTACTAATATAAAAAAACTGTTTAGGTATTACTCAAGTTGTCATGTGTTGATAAACATGCAGTGAGATGAAAGCAAAATATAATAAATAATGATTTGCCAGGTTGGCATCAGGAGTATAAATTATTAGTAGGTATAAAATCAACGATGTATCTATGTAGAATGTTCCGGTTTGAGATGTATGCCAAGCAGATACGCAGCAACACAGCCAAATTACTGATCATACAAATTTATGCTAAAATGATTGTTTCTTCAATAACGAGGTATTTTATTTAGTGCCAAAGTGAAATTAAGAATCGGGACTCTCCATCTTTTATAACGTGCCGGGGGGATTCGAATGTGCATGCAGCACACAAATACAAAAAATATACACATTTAAAAAATATACACATACATAATAGAACAACAAAAAAAGGTTGGTAGTGGCCTTTGGGAGGTCCAGATTTTATATCATTCAGATATTGGACGTCCAGATCTCAAACTGTACTGTATATAGCTGCATGGAGAGGATTAACATATTGCCCCGCCCCCAAACAGGAAAGTGGTTAATGACTGACTGCCATATCGAAGGGTCCGGGTTCAAATTCCAAAGAAGGTTCGGATGTAAATTATCTGTTTCTTCATAGGAGGTAATGGTGGCCGCTTAATAGGTGCCTCTATCATAAAATGATCACTGCTTCTGGACTTAATAGTGATGAAAGCCTAAAATGGCTAGTGCCCACCATATATATATTAAAAAGGGAGGGAATGGCATATTTTCCATGCAAGTTTATGATAATGGCAGTTTAATGAATGCACAAGGTCGGAGAACCAGTATTGGCAGCCTAATTTGTTATAAATTTTGAACATGATGAACAGAAAATAGCTTAATTATATAGAATTAAGGTCTTTTCTGTTTCTTAATTCATAGAATTTTCTAAAATCTTATTTTTGTAGCAGTTTGATCCTAAGCCTCAGTTTTGCCAATTTGACTTGTGGGTAATAATAATAATAATAATAATAGTGTACGCAATGTTGTGATTGCTGTATCAATTACTCCAAATCATGCCTAACAGTTTGTGCTGTGCCAAGATCATACTTTCAGCACAGCATAAACCATTCGGTACAGTTTGAAGCAATAGGTACAGCAACCACCATACTGCATACACCTATTACTATGCATAAGCATGCACAACACTGAGAAAAGCTTGATGTCAATTTTTTTGTATATGCTCACATACATTTTTGTTACCAATTCACTGAAGAACAAACACAGTTATGCTGCTGGAATGGTTCACTGTCAATAAAGCTCTCTAAATGAAAAGACAACAATTACTGGAGAATCATTCAAATCCATCCAAAAACTTTCAAATAGATGGGAATGTAAAAATATGCTGCTAAACACTGCCATTTTTTTGGTGGAAAGCACTTTGCTGACAATAAGGACTTCCAAATGGTAACAATATTTCTCAGTGAACTGGCAGCAAAACCTATGTAGATTATCCCGAAGAATAAATAAAAAGGTTTTGTTAAAGTTAAATCTTTATTCTTTTGGTATAACAAAATGAGCACTCCTTTCTGAAAATACCTCATATATGAGCTTCAATAAAACTTTGATCATATATTTACTGTCATATTTTAAACCTGAGAGGGAAAAAATTCCCCCTGCTGATATGCAGTTTAATTTACAACCAATGCATTCATACACACATCATTTCAAGAAATAATTATAAAATAAATCAACTCAAATTTTATACCACTTATAAGTATAATTGCAGATAAAGAGATGGTAGAAAATCTGACCTTGCAATATGTTAATCATATTCACACTTTTACTTTACCTTTTAAAAGTCTAACTGATCATGGAAATAAAATTCTTTAAGTCAAAGCCAAAAGATATTAACAAGTAAAATACAAATATGAAAGACCCTTACACTTAAGTAAATCAGGCCTCGGAACATGGCGTGAGTATCACCTTTCCCAGCGAAAACTGAGCTTGGTATAGCTCACAAAGTCACACAAAATAACTCACAGCAATCTATAATTACAAAAGAAAAATCTTTTAACATTATTGTATATAATAAAAATATTTGATATAAAACATTTTCTTTCATTCATGTTACTCAATGGAAAAAATTCTTCATATTACATTCCATAAATTTTACATTTTTATATAGTATTTAATAATTATATTAATTTACATACATATTTATTTAATGATTCTTTACATATCAATATAATGGCATTTTTAAAAAAATATTTTAACCTATATATATAATGTCCAAAGGTCCACAAAAATTTACAGTTCTTTCTGAATATCCACAACCCCCTGAAACACATTCGCAAGGACAAATGGTGCCGAAACCAAATGCAACCACAAATGGCAACCCATGACATCACCAAAATATCTTGATGCAGCAAGCGAGCATGATTCCTCCTGGTCATTCTTCTAATAAGTAGATGTTTTTATGTTAAGTATGTTAATAAATCATAGGACTGAGAAGTTTGTCGGCTGATGAAAAAGAAAATGCTTTCCTTCAGAAATATGGCCTTTTGTCCAACAACAAATCTGTGATACAGCTGTGATTCTTAAATGATCAGAATTACTGCATAATGCCAAATTTGAGCTTTTTTCCTAGTGAAAACAGACTGGGAAGTACATGGGAAGAACAATGTACGCAATACCAAATTTACGTAATTTTTTTTTTTTTTTTTTTTTTTTTTTCCCCAGTGAAAACAGATCTCTGTATACATAGGGGAACAAAAGCGAAAAAAAGTTAGATTTCTCGAAAAAGGTAACTGTTATTATATATGTTTGCTTTTTTAATTTTATCGATTCTTTGATCTTTTATGGAATTTTTAATGCAATACCATTTTCAAAATGGCTGTTGCCCTTCAAATATTGGCTTGGCCAAAAACTTACTCAGGCAATTTTTTAAAGTTGAAAATGAATTATTTATAATTGCAAAAATTATTTCTTGTACATTATCACATAACATATTTTATGTTTTACTGGGCAATATTCAAAAAATCAATAAACTTAAAAGCAAGTTTTTATTTATTTGAGTTTTTTCATTTATTTTAATTTTTTATCTGATTGAAATTTTGTGTTAAACCTTTAGTGATTTTGTGGCAAAATATGCAATTCTTGCAGAAATTAATACAGCAATTTCTTCCCTTTAAAGGCAAATTCTAGAAGCTCATGCTTTAAAATTTAATTTAAGATATAAAAATATCAGAATTTGTCTGAAAAACCTTTGGAATATAACAAAACAAATATACCTGAAAATAGCAGCATTACTTGTTACAAGTGAACAACAAGTGGTATATGTATGGTAGCCAGAATTTGCAGCACTCTGAAAATTTGGCAACTTCAACAAAGGTGCTTACACTAATATGCAAGTATCAATACATTAAGGTGTAATAAAGCCCTACTTGTACAGAAATGAACTGTGCTCCATAAAGAATTCTTTATGGAGGAGGGATACAGTAGGTATATTCAATCCACAATTCCACTAACAAAAGGTACTGTTCCATATCAAGCAATCACAACTGTATTAAAATGATGCTAAAACCCTTCCTTATGAACTCCTTAATGAAGGTTAAAGCTTTCATTATTTCCATAATAGTCTGATGCAATAAAAAATCACATTTTATAGGGAAAATTATAGCTTTAAATATAAAAATAGTTAAGTTTTAAAACATTTATTGATCGTTACACAATTTCAGTATTTACAATTTTAATATATCATTTACATTAAAGCAACACTTTTTATGCAGCTAGGATATAGTAATTCAATTCTTTTTGCATATACATAAAAATAAGGATAATTGTATATGAAAGACTGCATTCATTTATAATTTTTTATAAATTTTATAATTTTTTATAAATTCTGAAAATTTTTGAAAAAATTTTCAGATGCTTTTGGGTTATCCCCCCCACACACACATACAAACAGATAGATCCAAAAGATTCTTTCCTCATAGACTTCAAAAGATATAAGGAAATTTGAAATAGTTTATCTTTCAATATAATCTCTTTTCTCGATACACTCTTCGCATCATTTAATGAGCAAATCTATATCCCTGAAAAAGGAATCAAAAGGTTAGTCTTTTGAATTTGTCATAACTGCTCTTTTTGGATCATAATCATTAAATCCCTTTCCATGAAGAGAGATTTCAGTTTAGAGATTAAATATAGCTAAAACTGAACTATAAGGAAGGTAGGTGATCAAGCTCCTTAACTGCCAAAAGAAGTTAAAGTGCCCATCTTACATACACTTTTTTCATGTGAAAATATTCATTTAGAATGCACAAAACAGTTTTATTAGACTGATTCAGCCCTTGATTTAATCTCTTAGCACATTTCCACCAGAAAATAAATATTTTCGGATGTTAATGCTTTCAACGGCAACTTTCACGAGAATCATTTCCTATGGCCCAAGTGGAAACTGTTTCGACCTTCTTTCATTGCCCAAAAGAAAAAGGCAATTACTCATACACATGATTTTAACATCATTTTATTAATTTAGGATTATGAACACCAGGCAAAATTTAATTACAGAATGACACTCTATTTTAATCACTCTCCCACCAGACAGCATTATTTATTTACTTTTCACTATCTTGCATTGGCAACCATTCATTTCCTTCGTTCTTCCATTTCTACACCACATTGGAAGCAGACATGCATACAGACAACTTATTTATTATCAGATACAAACACAGTTAATGAAGCAAAATCAGTTTGTAAGAAAAATATCCTCAATTTAATTAGCATATGGTTTTAATTTGAGAAAATGGAAATCAAACTCGGGAAATTTCTTAATAGTTCAAAGAACAATGTTCACTGAGAAAAGAAGCGATCAGCCTTTTATTTACCTGTTAAGTACCGTATTTGCCAACATATAATACACAACCTCTTTTTTATACACATTTTTGTAGGATAAAACTTTATTACTGATCATTATAATGAATTAACAGTATTTTAAATATAAAGTAATACAAATACAAAGTAATACTCTGCAAATACCCAATCTATATGGGAAAGAACACCTTTTAATCTTCTTCGTCAAAACCCTCACTTATCTTCAGAGCTGAATGAAGAGGCACTCGAAACTTCTTCTAAATCAGCATCTGAGTGCTAATATAACAAATTGCCCTCTACCATCCAGTGCATTACTACCTTTTCCTGACTCTGCCAAGTTCTTGCCATTTTCTCATTGAGGGTGGCCCAAAATGCTTCCCTGTAGTCCTGTTTACAAGTTCTTTAGCAAACGCAATCACACATAGCTCGTATGCTATGTTATAGCAATGCCGACTTGTTTTGAGCCACAAATTTCTAACAAATTTAAGAAAATTGAATAGTAGAAATTTCACTCCCTTAACAGTCGTTCACGAAAAATAGAAAGTTAACCCAGCTACAATCGTTGATGACAGCACATGCACTTTACGCAAGTGTAATATTCACACTCCGCAATGAAAAAATTGCATAACTTCAAATAAACTGAGGCACATCAATCGACGTATAAGACACACCCCGTTTTTAAAACCTATTTTCAAAGAAAAAAGTAAGTCTTATGCTAGCAAATATGGTATATAGTTTACGATTATAAAAATCTACTTTTATTCAAGTTTTCAAAAGGATGAGAGAGAGGATGATCGTTTAGAATGGCAAAAGAGGTAAATAGGACAAAATGTTTGAGAATAACTCATCAAAATGTTCTATCAAAAACGAACACTAGTTAAGAGTGATTGGAATTCAGTTATTTCGAACATCAGGCAGATTACAGATTGAAGTTCCAAGGGATAATTATTCAAACCAACAAATATGAAATACCAAGATGTCATACTTATAACTATACTATCCACTTTCACAGATTTTGTGATGCTTCTTCATTTACCTATGCAGCATACATCTACTGTTGCCAAATATGGAACAGCACATTAAAATTAGCCTTTTAATCTCAAAGATAAAAGTTACACCCATAAAACACATACATCCTCAAATAGAACACAGTGACACATATTTGTTAACCAAATGTTTCATTCTGTCTTGAACACTAAAGAAGTACAATATGGAAATCTATACTTGGATCCATTCCAAAGTAGATCAGTTCTGCCTATTTGCTCAACCATGTAAGTGGGAAAACTGCTGCTGCAAACAGTACATTTCAGATCACAAAAGTGTAGCATAAAAGTACTGGAATTATGTTCCTTCAAAAGAAAAGTTGTACGGACACTGCATATTGTGGTATCAAACCTCAACTTTTGCCAACGTGTACTTTATGGCAAAATGATCTACCATGGCTAAAAATTGGCATAAAATGAATCAAAGTCTGAAGATGATATTGGATACCTTATTTTAAATTATTATGCATGCAAATCAAATAATTTATTAATTTATCCATTCAAGCATTATTCATCATTCCATTGCAAAATTATTGCCATCTTGGCTTACTGCCAATTATTTATTATTAACTGCAAGAAACATAATAATCTTCAAAACATATGACAATGCCACTGCTTTGTAGAGACATTAGGTATTTTAGAAGCAGAAAAGATGAAAAATTAATACCTTCGCCGGGAATCGAACCGCGGACCTCTGGAATACCGGCTCAGCATGCAGAACCATTACAACATGTTAGGAAGATGGGAGAAATACCTTGTAACTTTATACAAATAACATTTCTCAAGATCCGGAGAGTGGAAAAGATCACTGTTCATTTCATGATTCAAAAGTTTTATTTTCAAGATGATCTGGAAAGTATCAAAGGTAAACCTTTCTCCAATAAAAGGAGATGATCAACAACTGGAAGAATATCTTCAGAACTCATCTTTGACATTTAATGATAAGCATCCTGTAATAATCTCTCCTCAATATAAATTTTATGAATTAACAGTAAAAGAACATCACATTACTTAACTTTATGCCAGACCTCCTTTATTACCTTATGCCAGGCAATCATACTGGATAAGTGGAACATAAAGATTGATAGCAGTTGTATCAACAAAAGCTTAATGTCACAGATTTTTAAA